GCTACTGCGCATGCGCGGACCCGAGACGCTACTGCGCATGCGCGGACCCTGGACGCTACTGCGCATGCGCGGACCCGGGACGCTACTGCGCATGCGCGGGTCCGGGACGCTACTGCGCATGCGCGGACCCGGGACGCTACTGCGCATGCGCGGTCCGGAACACTACAGCGCATGCGCGGACCGGGACGCTACTGCGCATGGCGCGGACTACTGCGCATGCGCGGACCCGGGACGCTACTGCGCATGCGCGGACCCGGGACGCTACTGCGCATGCGCGGACCGGTACTGGCATGCGCGACGGACGCTACTGCGCATGCGCGGACCCGGGACGCTACTGCGCATGCGCGGACCCGGGCCGCTACTGCGCATGCGCGGACCCGGGACGCTACTGCGCATGCGCGGACCCGGGACGCTACTGCGCATGCGCGGACCCGGGACGCTACTGCGCATGCGCGGCCGGGACGCTACTGCGCATGCGCGGACCGGTACCGCTACTGCGCATGCGCGGACCGGTACGCTACTGCGCATGCGCGGACCCGGGACGCTACTGCGCATGCGCGGACCCGGGACGCTACTGCGCATGCGCGGACCCGGTACGCTACTGCGCATGCGCGGACCCGGGACGCTACTGCGCATGCGCGGACCCGGGACGCTACTGCGCATGCGCGGACCGGTACCGCTACTGCGCATGCGCGGACCGGGACCGCTACTGCGCATGCGCGGACCCGGGACGCTACTGCGCATGCGCGGACCCGGGACGCTACTGCGCATGCGCGGACCCGGGACGCTACTGCGCATGCGCGGACCGGTACCGCTACTGCGCATGCGCGGACCCGGGACGCTACTGCGCATGCGCGGAACGGTACCGCTACTGCGCATGCGCGGACCCGGACTACTGCGCATGCGCGGACCGGTACCGCTACTGCGCATGCGCGGACCCGGGACGCTACTGCGCATGCGCGGACCGGTACCGCTACTGCGCATGCGCGGACCCGGGACGCTACTGCGCATGCGCGGACCGGTACCGCTACTGCGCATGCGCGGACCCGGGACGCTACTGCGCATGCGCGGACCGGTACCGCTACTGCGCATGCGCGGACCCGGGACGCTACTGCGCATGCGCGGACCCGGACGCTACTGCGCATGCGCGGACCCGGGCCGCTACTGCGCATGCGCGGACCCGGGACGCTACTGCGCATGCGCGGACCCGGGACGCTACTGCGCATGCGCGGACCCGGACCGCTACTGCGCATGCGCGGACCGGTACCGCTACTGCGCATGCGCGGACCGGTACCGCTACTGCGCATGCGCGGACCCGGGACGCTACTGCGCATGCGCGGACCCGGGACGCTACTGCGCATGCGCGGACCCGGGACGCTACTGCGCATGCGCGGACCCGGGACGCTACTGCGCATGCGCGGACCCGGGACGCTACTGCGCATGCGCGGACCGGTACCGCTACTGCGCATGCGCGGACCCGGGACGCTACTGCGCATGCGCGGACCGGTATCGCTACTGCGCATGCGCGGACCCGGGACGCTACTGCGCATGCGCGGACCCGGGACGCTACTGCGCATGCGCGGACCCGGGACGCTACTGCGCATGCGCGGACCGGTACCGCTACTGCGCATGCGCGGACCGGTACCCCTACTGCGCATGCGCGGACCCGGGACGCTACTGCGCATGCGCGGACCGGTACCGCTACTGCGCATGCGCGGACCGGTACCGCTACTGCGCATGCGCGGACCCGGGACGCTACTGCGCATGCGCGGACCCGGGACGCTACTGCGCATGCGCGGACCGGTACCGCTACTGCGCATGCGCGGACCCGGGACGCTACTGCGCATGCGCGGACCGGGACCGCTACTGCGCATGCGCGGACCGGGACGCTACTGCGCATGCGCGGACCCGGGACGCTACTGCGCATGCGCGGACCGGGACGCTACTGCGCATGCGCGGACCCGGGACGCTACTGCGCATGCGCGGACCGGGACGCTACTGCGCATGCGCGGACCCGGGACGCTACTGCGCATGCGCGGACCGGTACCGCTACTGCGCATGCGCGGACCGATACCGCTACTGCGCATGCGCGGACCCGGGACGCTACTGCGCATGCGCGGACCGGTACCGCTACTGCGCATGCGCTGACCCGGGACGCTACTGCGCATGCGCGGAACGGTACCGCTACTGCGCATGCGCGGACCCGTGACGCTACTGCGCATGTGCGGAACGGTACCGCTACTGCGCATGCGCGGACCCGGGACGCTACTGCGCATGCGCGGACCCGGGCCGCTACTGCGCATGCGCGGACCCGAGACGCTACTGCGCATGCGCGGACCGGTACCGCTACTGCGCATGCGCTGACCCGGGACGCTACTGCGCATGCGCGGAACGGTACCGCTACTGCGCATGCGCGGACCCGTGACGCTACTGCGCATGTGCGGAACGGTACCGCTACTGCGCATGCGCGGACCCGGGACGCTACTGCGCATGCGCGGACCCGGGCCGCTACTGCGCATGCGCGGACCCGAGACGCTACTGCGCATGCGCGGACCGGTACCGCTACTGCGCATGCGCTGACCCGGGACGCTACTGCGCATGCGCGGAACGGTACCGCTACTGCGCATGCGCGGACCCGGGACGCTACTGCGCATGCGCGGAACGGTACCGCTACTGCGCATGCGCGGACCCGGGACGCTACTGCGCATGCGCGGGTCCGGGACGCTACTGCGCATGCGCGGGCTTATCGAGGTACTGCGCATGCGCTGTTCCGTGCCGCTACTGCGCATGCGCGGGCGCTTGGAGCTACTGCGCATGCGCGGGCTCTGTTAGCTCAGGTATCTTGAGGGGAATGGCTGCATGTGAACTAAGCTGGAACAACTAGCCCAGTCCCACAGCGTCCTTTGCACCCTGAGAGTGATGAGCAGTCAGCATCATTCCTGCCTTCTGCTGCTGCCTGCAGGACAGCTCATCATTCAGCACAGCCTGGCCCCAGTTCTTTTACAAGTTTACCCATTCTTTGAGCTTTCCTTCCAAAAGGAGCCATGTTTGTTTAGCCCCTGTGCAAGTTTTTCTTTTGGGAGGCAGAGGGCAAATGGGAAATGGCAGATGCCATCAGCCAGGCACTGGGGCCAGTGTGTGCCAGGCTCCCCACACCCATCTTCTCAAGGGCTGGGAGGAGGCAGGGCATCAAATGCCCAGGAGCTGAGCTCCTCACCACCACTGACCAGCAGCTCCCTGCCTCTGTGACCAATCCCAGCCCATCTCCCTGGGGAATCTCTGCTCTGCCAGCAAGCAGCTGCCACTTCAGCAGGGAGAGGAGGCAACAGGCTGGGAGTCCCAGGCTGGTAGGGATGTGCTGGCACCCTGCTTGTTCCAGCAGCAGCAACAGCACCAATGAACCTGCAAGGTTTCAGTCCCTCCTGTCACCTACACAGAGATACTGTTTTGAAGGACAGCAGCCTTTATTATTCTACTGTTTTGAAGGACATCTTTAGCCTGACAGCTTTCTCTCCAGTGCCAGTCAAGTTTCTCTCAAGTACTCAGAGGCTGTCACAGCAGCAGAAGTTATTGCCTGGTCCAGACCTACCCTGTTAGCACAGAAGTTTAGGCTTTGGAAAGAAACCAACAAAACCTTAATGTTTTCCTTGTCTTCCTGTAAAGCCCTGCAGCACTTTACAGAGGAGCTGATCCTGGGCAGAACTGTCTTTCACAGGCACTTCCTGCTTGCCATGAGCTCACTACATCCCAGGAGCCCAGACCAGCTCAGAAGGTATCACTTTATCGGCCCCTTCTGGGCTCCCTCAAGGTTTCTCTGAAGCTCACTAGATTAGTATGATAGATAGGTATGGGTTTCTCCTTGGTGAGTCTACACTGGCAGTCTCTAATCACTCCCATGCCTGGAAGTTTGCAGCACAGCAGTTGAGAATAGTGTCACTTCTCAGGACAGATCTGTCCCAGTTCCATTTAATCCCTGCCCTCATTTTCTTGGCTTTGCAGCACTGAAGTGCAGCCCTCAGGGAGGCTGAGTGTGAACAGAGTTGCTTTAGCATTCCTGGCTATTTATCTTTGGTGTGCTAATCTTAAAGGTGCATTGGAGTGGGAGTGGGGATATAGACTCCCTGGGTGCCTGCCCTCTCATAGCCCCACAGCAGGTGCAGTGAAGGGTGTGCTTTTTAATGTCAGTTATAATAAAATATTTTTACAGAGCCCAAAAAATTCAAAATAGTGCAAAACATCTCACTGTCATGCATCCATGGTAGCCGCTGCCAGCAGTGCCGCACGCGGTGGAACAGACACACAGGCATCAGTGACACATGTGCTACAGGAGCAGAATTTGTTGGTTCAATCACATGCCAAACAGGACAGGTTGGGAAGGGAGCAAAGGGCCAGGGGCACCATGGTTGGGGGTGGTACAGGGCTGAGCCCCAGCCTCATTGTGTGGAAGCGGTGGTTAGAAAAGGGCTGTAAACACTGAAGAATAACGATAGAGGAAAAGCTAAACCCTTTGGTCCCAGGCAAACCCTATAGAAAAAGGACCACAGGGGCCAATCAGCATACCCTGTTTTGGAATGGAGAGGGGACTTGAGATATATTGACTTGTGGGGTCATCAGACCTCTGTCTTCCCCAGTACTTAAGAGCCAGCCAGGGTGGGCCATCCCCAGCACTGCACATCCCAACCTCCCAGGCACTTGCACAAGACACACACACATACCCCCCACATATCACACAGAAATGGTGGTTAACGGGAAATTAAAAGGCAAGGGGTCCTCTGGGCTGGGGATGGGAAGGGTCTTTCTTGCACCAGAGAGGTCTCATGGGTACTGCTGCACTGCACAGCCATGGCTGGCCCCCACTGGCCAGAACAAAGGGAGATGGGTTCCTGTACTCCAGCACTTCCAGCCGTTGCCCCCAAGCCCTGGCACCATGGGAGCAGCAGTGGGGCAGCCCATGGTGGGGCAAGGCAGGGAAGACAGGATATGGACTGGAGGCTAATCCCTGCCATCCAAGAGGGGACCCTATGCAGGGTATGTGGGGGCTGCACTCACCAACTCAACAGCCCCAATAGCCCTTCCAGGTACAGAACATGGCCAGCTGCCAGTGTATGTACAGCGATTTACATATGTACAGGGTGCTCACTTGGTCGAGCCTCCCTGTCCCCCAGGGTGCCTGAAGATGCTTGAGGGATTGGGACAAGGGGCCATTGTGCTGTGCCAGCAACTCATCAGTACCCCCAGGGGTGGGATGAGACACCCCTCCCACCTTCACTTCCAGCTTTCCTTTTGGTGTCTGATGAGGTCTGGGTAGGGTCAGGGATGGGCCACTACGGTTCCTCCATCTCAGGCACCCAAGTCTGGATCTCGCCTTTCCCTGCAGCCCCACCAGACCCAGCACCTTCCCATTGGGGTGGGATGATGGAATGGCCATGCTCTGCATCACTGCCACTCAAACAGTCTGGCTGAGGGAAGGATGGCGTGGGTCTGTCACTGCAGCCACACCGCCCCCCCTCACCAGCACAGGGAAGGAGACTCCTCTTGTGGCCACTCTTATGGCTTATACATGGCTGGAGGACGGTGTAGAAAAGGGGGCAGGAGTGGGGGGAGAGGGCTGGGGAAATGACAAGGGTTTAATTGCTGCCCTCTTCAGCTGAGCGTGTATCTGACTTGAGCTTGACAAATTCCTTGGCCACCTCATCATTGTTGCGCTGGGAGAGGATGCGGAGGACGGTGAGGCCGGTGTCATCCATGTGGATGCGGCGACCCAGGGGCAGCCAGCAGGCGCAGCCAGGTCGCTGCAGGATATCACGGAGCTGCAGGACAGCGATGCCCACCGTCCGGTCCTCGCGGGCGAAGCAGTAATCTTTCACACACACCTGCAGTTCATAGCACTCGGGGCCAGTCTCCACACCCAGCGTGCTGCAGGAGGGCAAGGGGCAAGCAGTTGTCACAGTGGGTCATACTCCAAGGTCCCCTGGTTCTGCCACAGGACACCTGGGTGCTACCTCCCCACTGTCTTCCCCCCCCCCCACCTTTCCTCAATCCCTGCTTTTACCAATGAGAAAACATCTAAAATATCCCCAACTCCCTGACAAGACCCCACCATGGGCAGACACATCGCCCAGCCCAGCCCCACATCCCAAGCCCTGCAGCATCACTCACAACTGGAAGCTCTCATTGTACTTGGGGGCCCAGCTGTTGTTCTTGGATTTGGTGGCAAATTTCCTCTTCTTGTCACTGAGGTGGGGCCCGATGATGTTGACCTCAATGAAGGGACGGAAGATGCCTGATGTCTGCCATTTGAGGTCATTAGCAGCCACCACTGCAAAGAGGGAGCTTATGAGCCTCATGGAGCACTGCCAGATCCGAGCATCCCAGCTGGCAGAACCCACCTTTGACAGTGACTTTGTGTTCACCAGTGCCTGGGTGGGTGAAGAGCTCCACATGGATGGACACCTCCCCAACAGGGTCATCCACACCAGAGCCTGCATGGCAAAGGGAGGTGACATGAGTGCTCATTCCTGCTGCGTTCCTGATGTCCACCACCAACCCCACTGGAGGAGGCAGGTCACCCACCAAGGGCAGCAGCGCTTGGCCAAATGTGGCCTCTGTTAAAGAGTTCTCAGGAGAGCAGTATGGGTAAAGCAACTGTCATGGATGGCTGGGGCTGGCACCAGGCAGGGCTGGGGGCATAGCAGGACATCCCCAGTACCAGGCTGGCTCTGGTATGCTACCCCACATCAGCAGGACCCAGTGAGCCCCCACTTGCCCAGGCAGGGGCTGAGGTGTCTGGGTGGGATGGGGCAGGGGACAGTAGCCCTGCTCTGCCTCCTGTAAGCACAGGGCAGAGGGTGCTGTCAGTGGTCCATGCATGGATGTGAATATGGGCACAGCACTGGGCAGAAGGGACCTGACCTAGCATTGTGCCACAAGACAGCCATGGCCCTGCCAGGGTTCAAGGCTGACCTGCCCCCTCCTGTATCCCCTCCATCCCTGGGGAATTTAGGTGACCTGTAACCAACAGCCCAGTACACCCCCTCCCCTCCAGGAGCCATGCATGCACTCATGGGTGAAGGAGGGGTGCAAGGCAGAGGGACAGGGTCTATGTGTCAGATGGGGCCAAGGAGATCAAACTGAGCTCAGCAGAAAGCTCCCAGGATAGAAATAACAGTGGGAAAAAGGATGCATCCCCACATGCCACCTCACGGCCCTCAGCACAAGGATGCCAGGCCATGTGGGGTGGTGATGGCACGCTTTCCTCTCCATCCACCCTCATCCTCCACAAAGCCCAGCACCCCATCCCTACAGGCAGTGCTGCATGCTGAGCTGAGATGGAGCTGATGGTAGATGAGGACCGGGTGTCTGGGTACAAGAGGCCAAGCATGGGGTGCAGTCCTGGCCCCTCTGGGTGCCAAGGAGGCCAAGCAGGGCCCATGGAGCTGGGCTCATTCCTCACGCCCTGGAGCAGGCGGGCAGAGCTCACCGGAGCAAGGCTAGTAATGGTCCTTCTGGCAGCAGCGTGGACGGGATGGGGGACATGGGCATGGCCTCCCCTGAGGCCACATGTCCCAGCTTGCATGGAGGTCAGGGCAGGTTCCCACCCCCCAGCAGCAGCACTGGGGACCATGCAAGGTGCCCAGACCTAACCTGGTATGGGGCAGGGGTTGTCAATATAGCTGAGCACAGCTCCTCCAAATTCAGCTCAAAACAGCCAGGGGAGTGGGAGTCTGTGGGCACAGGGCTCCAGCTCTGGCCACAAGAAGGGCACCCAAGGCTGGCAATGCTCGGATGAGGCTTGTGGCCACCTCAGCCCATAGTGGTGGGACTATTACTAGCCCAGGCCGGTGGCAGGCAGGTGCAGGGGTGGGCAAGCAGCACACATACCCTTCTCAGGATAAATTTCTTCACTAAGGGTAAACCTAGTACCTTTCCCACCATGGACTAGCGGGAAGGAGAGAGAATGAGACAGAGACACAGCACAGAGTAGATGAAGAGAGAAGGAAGGAGACAAGGGGGGGGGGGGATCAGTAAAAGAGAAGGGGAGAAAACAGAGAGAAAGAGATCAGATCTCACAGACAGATGAATAGCCGAGCATCTGGACCACACCACTGCAACACAGGAGTACTGGGCACTACCCGGCTCTGAGCCCAGGGGGTCCTGGAGCCAGGCTGCACTTAGGCATGCTGGCACCAACCAAACCCAAGGCCAACCCACCAACACAGCTGGCACAGGACACACAGACAGGACATTTGTCCCTTGCAAGGAAATGCACAGACAGCAAATGTACGTCCCACTCCCTGAGGACACAGACAAGCCTGGCTGGGGCACTATACAGCAGCCCATGGCTGCAACAGAGTGTATCTGTCCCCTCCTCAAGCAGCCAAGGGGCAAAATAAAGAGCAGCATTTAGAGAGGAGGTCCTGCCCCAGAGGGTGCCCAGCACATGGCTGTGTGGCAGGGGCAGCACCTGGCATCCTGGACAGATCCCAAATCATGGGGTATGTGGGGCACCCAGCATACCCAGGACAGACTCTGGCACAGTATCTGGCCAAGATGCCAGCTACAAGGCAGCACTGGACCAGAGGTGTCTGTACTGGGTGACAGGGACCAGATTGTGATCTCCCCTACCAACAAGCCCTATTTCTGTGCCAGCCTAGCCATGCCTTGGCACTGGAGACACACTGGTGTTGCTGGTGGGGAACTTGGAGGTACCAGGCTGTTTTTGAGCACCCATGGTCCCTCTTCACCTGCAACCCATGGGAGCAAGAAGCTCTTCCCTCCCTGTCTATCCCTCCCATCCATGAGCCTAGCTGTGGACCCCCAACCCCACTGTCACATAGGGACCTGGCAGTGGGGCAACCAACCACATGCACGGGGAGAGGGGCCTGGGTCAGAGGGCCAGGGCAGTGCATCCTACCCTGTGAAGCCTGGGTCTGCACAAAGGTTTTGATGAGGAGGTCAGTAGCCTGGGTGTAGAGGGACAGGGCATAGCGCAGCGACTGCAAGTCAGGGCTCTTCTCCAGGAATGTCTTCTTCAGCCCCACGCCACCGGCATGGAAGTATTGCTGGAGGAGGGAGAATGGCCTTGGGGCCCTCAGCAGCTCTGCTAGAGCTCCTCCAGTGCCCTTCCAGGGCTAAAGCCCTCAGGGACACCCCTATGTTCCCCAGAATACCCTTACCTTGATGGTGTCCAGTGCCAGCTCCACCACTGCACATTGCTTTGGGGTCAGGCTCTTGGCTTCCTCCCGCACCATGTGGTCCTACAGGACATGAATCCTGCTTTCAGTATGGAACCAGGGCCCCACTCCCCTTGCCCCAAACATGCCAAAAAACGAGTACTGGTGGGGTCCTTGCAACAGTGCCAGTGCCAGCCTTAGCACAGAGAGAAGAACAGATTGCCTGCCCCCAGCCCACCCTCCCAGCCCTCACCTTCAGCTTGGAGAGCTGCCCCAGCTCCTTGGCTGCGTTGAAAATCATCTGTGTGCCCTGCAGAGAACAGAGACAGGAACAGCCCCAGTAAGTGGCCAAGCTGGGGTTGCCATGGCCAGGCTGGCACATGGTGCCAGGAGCTTGCTGCAGCTCTGGAGGCTCCCCCAGGCTCCAGGGGGATGGAGTAACGCTCCCTAGAGAGCCCCAGGGGCTACTGGGCACGGTGATGTGAGTGCGCACCCCAGCCACTGAGTTCTCACTACATATGGGTGGCTTGGGACCTGAGGACTCCAAGGCAGGACATCATTGTGGCATCAAGGATCTCACACCCTGCTCAGCACAAGTAGCTTGGCCCAAGGGTCCCATCCTGCTCCCTGTGATGCCCAAGCACCTACTTCTGCATCCAGCAAAGCCCAGCACAACACATCACTGGCATCGCTTGGATAGTTGTACAACACTGGGGAGCAGAGAGCGAATGCAGGGGGACAGTGGGCACAGGGAGGATGCGACATGATCCCCCTGTACCCCAGTGCTGGCAGTCAAGGCAAACATGCCCCTGCTACCCAAACCCCTGCCCAGTCCCAACCCCAGGGATATTCTCCAGCCCCTGTTCACCCCAGGAACATGGCAGATGGGAGCCCCTGGATGCCTTCATCTGCCCTGTGCCATGCCACCCCCATGGGCAGAGGCCATGAAGCCATTCCATGGAGCCCACTGACAGAGCTCCTAGGGACGCAGCCCCATGGCATAGGCAGATCCCGCTCACTTCCCTGGTCTACTGCCTGCTCACTGGGCTGAGCACAAGTTCCCCTTCTCGAGCCCTCCAAAGTGCAACATGCAACTGGATAAGCACAGGCCCCATGGGGCAGAGCCAGTAATTCCCACCTCCTTCCCCCAGCACCCGTAGCTCCAGTCCTTCCCAACCCCCAGCATCTGTCCCACTAGCCATTACCTTCTGCAGGGGTCTGGTCCTCCCATGCTCTTACTCTGTACCCCCTCCCACTAACCCTTTGTGTCCTTCTCACTCCTAAGGTACTGTCCCATTCACTTGCTGTCCCCATCTCCCACAGTTGGTGAACAGGCTGGGAGCTGGGGACACTGGTTGCTCCCAGACAGAGCACAATGGAATACTGCACTGAGCTGGGATCCCCACACACCCCACAGCACATGGAACAAGGGACAGGGAGGAGGCAAGAGGAGGGACCAGAGCCAAGTGGGGAGCAAAGAGCCATGTCCTTACTTCAGTGTGACTGGGCAGCTTCACCCTGCTCTGGAAGAGAACAGCAAGGGACAGTTACTGGTGGCCCCAGCAGCAGCCAGCCGCAGGTCCAGGCCCCCCACAACCCCCAGCCATGTGGGCTCTTGCCCAGAACAGCTCCTCTGACTGTGCCCAGTTCTCCACTGCTTGCAGGTGTGAACTGGTTCAGCACCAGTTCACATCTGCAAAGGCTCAGCCCCACATGCTTGCTGCTGAGCCTGTGATGAGCAAGCCATTATGGGTTCAGCAGGACTAAGGATACTTCCTGAGTGGGGCAGGCCTCTTCCCCACCTTGTTTCGGGCTGGGGAAATATCAGCTGGTGGAGGGAAGCAGCTTGCACAACACTCTCAACAAACTGGGGCAGGACCCAGCATCACGTATGAGAGGACGAGGCACTGCCCAGACAGATGCCAGTGTGGCTTTTCCTCAGGTGTGAGTTTTGGAAGCATGCAGCCCTCAAGGCTGTGCTGGGCCCCCAGCCCAGCAATGGGGAGCACCCAGACAGAGGGAGAGCCCATGTGGCTGGAGAAAGCCCTTTCAGCAAGTTTTGGGGCTTAGTGAGCCTTCCTGAGGCCCCCCCAGCATCAGGAGGGAGCAGGCTCAGAGGTCCAGGGGACCTCAGCAACCCCATGGCCTCCAGTGTGCCCTGCAAATCCCCAGCATTCCAGGGGTGACCTCTTCCTGTGCCTCCAGAAGTGGGACAGGTTTGTGGCTGGGATGCCCCATGCTTGGGTACCGTGTCCCCATGCTGTTCTAGACAGGCATTGGGAGGGGTGCTGAGCAATGTGGGGCTGCCTGGGGATGAGTAACACCCCACATACCCACCCACAGGGGCTCAACACAACACGACACCTGCTCTCTACCCCAGGCGACACAGAAACAGGTTACTCCGCCCCTCCTGCACAAAGGCAGCATAGCCCAGGCAACACAGCACACCTCCACAGGCCACGCAGGCAATGGCACATCCAGACAGCACGACAGAGGAAGCACGGACAAGCCTGGGCCTCCACAGCAGGTGGGTTTGGGGCCACGACTGTGGCCACGGGGCAATGACACATATGGAGCCCACAGCTATTTACCTTCTCTGTCCCCTTGCCATGTTTTCTCAAGAGCGTGCCCTGTAGAAGCAACGTCAGAGGTTGAGTGGTGGGGTGGGGAGACAGAATGGGATGGGACACAGGAAGAGAAGGACAAGGCTGGGCACATGGGGTGACCACAAGCTGGTGGCAAAGACATCGGTGAGCTCCTCAAGGACAGTTAACAGCCAGTGGGGAAATGGTCCCTCTTGAGGGTGCTAAGCCCATGGCAGACTGGTCCCCACTGGGATACAGGGTTAGTGGGGGATTGATCTGCAGGGGGATGCTGTGTCAGTGAGGCACAGGTGTCTCTTGTATGCTTGGCCAACTGGTTTTCACTGGAACACACAATGTCACACTGATGGGGAACCATTTCCCACACAGGGATGCTGGGCTTACGGTAGCTGGCTCCTGCTGGGATATAAGGGATGCTGAGCACACGGGGGACTGGTCCTCGGTGGGATATAGGAAGGCAGGAACCAGGTGGCACTGTGTGTGGGAAGCCTCTGGTGCCCCCACATTCCTCTACAACACTAGGGAGGAGACAGGGAGGGGGCAGCTGTACTTGAGTTTCACATGTGGCGTTCTGGTCCGTGCAGTGCTGGGCCCTGCGACAACCCCACACTGACCCAGGCCAAGAGAAACTGTAAAATGGGGCAGCAGTGCCATGTGGAGGGCTCCTAATCAGCCTCTCAGGACCCTGTACCCGGAGTGAGCTGACACAATCCTAGTCCCCTGATAGTCTCAGAAAGCTGAGGCCATGGGGTCCCTGCGGGGCCAAGGGGAGGCTCCGCCCAGGCTGACCCAGGGTCTCTCCAAATGCTGCTTTTGGGAAGATATAGTGCTGGGGGATGGGACAGTAATTTGTTCCCACAGGGATTGGCACCAGCACCCAACCACCAGAACCCACACCACTGCTCCTTGCAAAGGTGCCAGTGGTCAAAGCAGGGGTGGCAGCAAGATTGGGGGTGGATGTGGCCCTTCCTTTGCCCCACAGGGCGTAAGTCCATGGCCACAGACTGAGCAGAAGAGGACAAAAGGAAACTGCCCAGTCAAAGCCATGCAGGGACTTAGCAGGAATGCAAAGAAGGGAACCCAGGAGTCCAGGCACCCAGTGCTGTATCCTGGGCTAGGAAAAGGTCCCATGACTCATGCCAGAAACTTGGCCACCACTGAACAACAGGACCAGGGACTGTTGTGTCCCAGGGAGATGCTCCTCTCCATAGGTCTCTGCCTTCAACCTTTACCATAGCCACCCCCCAGCCAGAGCCTCAAGTAGAAACTCAGACACAAGGGGTCAGGAAGAACAACCCTGACTGCCAGGCACACACCACTCCACCTGCTCATGTCTCCAGTGGCCTCAGCATGAAACAAGACAGGATCAGCTTGGATTTGACTGTCCCTGATCACATGGCACTGCCCCATCCCCATGCTCACCCACACCACCACTAACCCTTGCACTTCTCTTTGCACTTCCCCACATCCAGCTCCCTTGAACCTCTCCAGGACCTTTCTTTCCACCCCCAACCGAGGCAAATGCCTGCCAGGAGCCAGTGCCAAGCGGGCAGCACAAGGATGGGGACCACAGAGGTGGGCCATGTCAGGAGCCAAAGGAGGGTGTGGGCAGGGTGCGGGCAGCCACACAAGACAGGAACCGGCGGGGCCAGGACCGACACACAGCAGACAGACAGACAGACAGAGAGCTGCCGTACTTACAATCATCTGCCATTGAGAGGCAAGCGGAGCAATTGGAGAGAACAACCACGGCATGAGTGTCGGCCCCTTCCCTCCATCCTCCCCAGCCCTGGCTGCCCCCCAATCCCCACCAGGCAAGAAGAACAGCATAGCCAGGGGCTTACACCATCTGACATGCCACAGCACTCAGCATCCATGCCCTGCCACCAACATCACTGGTCTCCACAGCCCCAAGGTGGCCCCATCCCAACCTGCCTACTGCATCCTTACTGTGGCAGCGGGACTGAGCTCCAGGGACCTGGTGAACCCCCCTCAACACTCAGCTCTGACATGTAGCCCCAAGTCGTCAACCATAGGAACCAGAGCCTTCCAAGGACTGCCTCCCCACAGGAAAATACACAGATCTACATGTCCATGCCACCTCCTCTGCCCTCAGCACAGGGCTCATCGCCTCCAGAAAATGACATAGTCACACATGGCCATGAAGGGACAGGGACTGGGATGGCAACTGGAGTGGCACCGGCATTCCTAGTAGATTTGGCCAGCTTTGGCCAAGGGTGTGTCACTCTGGCCAGGAGTGATGCAGGGCTGACCTGAGTGAGGTTCTGGGCTGTGACAAGGTGCCAGTAAGGTGGTGCCATTGAAGGCTGACATGTCACCAATGTGCTGTCCCTTACCAACACAGCATAAGGATTCCCACAGCCCCAGGAAAGTGACACAGTGGATGGTGGCTCCAGGGACTCCAAGTAAGAGCCTGAGCCCAACTTTGTGACAGTGACAGAAACCACTGAGAGTGACAAGGATGAATATATACTTGGCTCAGAGCCCTCAGTGTTACCATTCCCTTTCTGACCCTAAGTGAAGAGCTTCCCCAGGAAGCTTCAGGGTACATGACTACATGCAAGGGAGGATACACACAGCAATGTGACACAGAGACCTGAAGCCTGTAGGCAACCTCCCTTTGAGGAGGGACCAGCAGGGCTTTACTCAGGCTCCTAGAAACTGTACAGCCTCTGAGGAAGGAATAGTTCAGTCCTGCTGAAGGGACATGACCCCTCATCCCCACATTACCCCCATCCCTGCAAAGCCAATCCCTGCTCCCCAGGCAATTCCAGACCCACAGCAAAGCCAAGATGTGGTGATTCCCCACACTTCAAGTGCCTCCTGATCCACCTCCTGGCACAGATACCATGTTCACAGCCAGCACTGATGGGCATGTCTTGGGATGTTGCCTAGCTCAGAGGGAAGGGTAGAAAGGAAAGGACCAGTGCCCTCTTGGTGCCATAATGGAGATGGCAGGAAGGCCCTTTGGCAAAGGCAGCCAAGAGCGTGCTGGGATGCACTACAATGACCTTTCTCTCCTCCATCCCTTGCCTGGCCATGAGCTGGGAGTCAGACTGGGGAGGTCCCCAACCCCTCAGCAGCTAATGAAGGCACCGGACCAGCAGCATCTCATTCTGGCCCCAATCAGCCATCCTTCTCAGCTCCAGGGTCCCCCATCCCTGGTCCGCCTCCTTGTCTCACTCACCGTCTGATCAGTAAGCGGGGGCAGGACAATAGTCTTCTCCATTGTGTTCATAACCAGCTTCCAGAGCTCCTTTAGCACGCGCTTCAGCACTGTCTTCTCACAGATCTTGGCAAAGAGCGTCAGGCTGCAGAGAGGGGACAGGGCTGAAAGTCCCAGAATGGCACCCCCAGTGTCACCCCCTTCCCGGTCATCCTGACCCTGCAGGTTCTCCAGATCTCCAGAACAAGTCAGGAGCATCAGGAAGGGTGGGGGGTCCCTACTGGCCCCTAAACTCACTTGCTGTCCAGGAGGTCCATGATGGGCTGCAGGACGTTGTCAGCATCCTGCGCAACACTGCTGCAGGTGCTGGCAGGGACGTTGCCAGTGCCCTTCACCTGGCCGAGGATGTCACCCATCTGCTTCACACACTCTTCAATGTGTGGCTGGAAACTGAGGACCGCAACACCCAGGCAGCTCAGCATCCCTATGACCATGCCCAGGACCCACTTGGCCAAGCAAAGTACCCAGCCTGGCCCCAGCCACAGCTCCTGGACCCCTAAACCTCCCCTTGACCCACTGCCCATACCCTCTCGCCTGGGTGTACCTGGTGGCAAAGACTCGGCTCAGCTCATCCAGGACATTGTTGAGTTTAACCTGCAGCTCCTTAAGGATATCACTGGCTTCCGTGTCCAGCTGAAAGAGGGATATGTTGAAGAAGCTATCAGAGCCCCTGACCCAGTCCACAGGGGAGTCTCTGCACCCTAAATGCACCCGTGGGCAGGGTGAAGCCCATCCACCGTCTGACATGGTGGGACGCCGTGATCCCATACAGGAATGAGGAACTGAGGTCTTCTCCCAGCACTGTGGAGCCAGGAAAAGGTCTGCTTCTGGGGAGAGGGGACAGATCCAGCCTTGCCATAGGGCTTCCTCCCAAAATCCCTGATACACACCTCCTTCCCACCCATGGCTTCAAACATCTTCTCGAGCTGGACACGGAGCTGCTGGATGTTGTTCATCAGGATGCAGGGCTGGAGGGGTGATATGGAGAGGGGAGTCAGCATCAACAGATGTGGCCGGAACAGCTGCCCATCACGCCAAGTCCCTCCCACCCTGTACTGGGGTACACAAGAACAGTCATGGTATGGAGCTCTGCCTGCTAGCATTTCATAGACTGATATCAGGCAGAGACCAAAGGCAGGACCTGCTTCATGGGTACCAGCTTTGGAGCTGAGGTGGTGGTTGGGGTCACCATGTGTGGACAGTCCTGCCTGGTAGCACCAGGCAAGCAGCAAGCAGAAGGAAGATACATCACCACTTTCTCCTTCTCCTTGGAGCAGTACGAAGCAAAATCCTTGGAGATGATCTCAGCATACTGGAGTAGAACATTGCTGATGGTCTGCAGCCAATAAGGCAGGAACAAAGACACCCAGACATCAGGAACAAGGAGGAAGGATGGAGAAAGGGAGACCATGAGTCCCACAGCAGTGAAACAGCCCAATGCCTGGATACACCCTGCAACCCCTAGACCCTTTGGCCCCACGGATGCGTAGGACCTGCATGAGCACAGCCCCTATAAAACAGATCCAGCACTTCTGGTGTCCATAGTCAGCTCCATCATCCACACAGCTATGAAAGCACCAGCCATTAAGCCTACATCCAATCCCAGCCCACACTGCAGTGAGCTAATGCATTTAATCTAAATTCATTAATCAATTAACTCATTAATTATCTAATCTGTGCTAGCAAACATGGGAGGGCCACAGGGTCTGTTGATGGCATATTTGCTTGAGCATCACCACTAGAGGTGGCGCAATCTGTGCTGCATGCTGCTGCCCACAGCAGGATGGGAGGTGACAAAGGGAGTCCAGAAGCCCTGCACCAGGGCTGGACTTGAGGTCCCAAGCGTGCCACTGGCCTGGCAGCTACCCACCTTGGCAAACCGTCGCATGTAGTGTCCAACAATCTGGGGATCGGGGCACTCAAGTTTCTTGATGATCTCAAAGCTCTGGTTGAGCTGGGAGAAGACGTCCACCACGGAGCAAGAGAAGAGCGCGTGCTCTGATGTCTGCTGGAACTGGGGGAGCAAGAGGCTGCGTCAGCAGGAGGCAAGAAGGAAGACATTGGCCCTGGCTAGGACACACTGGGTATTGAGGGACAAGCCCCTCACCCACCCCCGGCTGCAGTTCCTGTGCCCACTGACAGTCCTGTTCATACCCCATCCTTCTTGTCCCGCTCCAGTGCTCCATGAAGGAAATCCCGCGAGACCTCTTCATTCTCATCCAGCCACTGGATAACAAAGGGCTCAAACCAGCTGGAAGAGAGATCAGTAGAGACCCAGTGAGGCCAGTAGCCCTCAGGGGACAAGCACACCCTCCCCTGCCCCCCGAGGGCTGCACTCACGCAGGGTACTCAGGCACACGGCTCTTGAAAGAGGGGAGCTCGGTGACATACTCGTTGTAAAGCCACTTCACCTTGAAGTGCAGGTTCATGTAATCCGCACTCTTGCACAGGCGGTGCTTGTCATGCTCTGCACAGGGAAGATGAGCGCCATGGGGAGGGGTTTGCTTCAAGCCACAAACCACGGCAAGGGAGGACACATTTGCCCCAGAAGCAGTGCTGGGTATGCCAGGGTGACAAGGTGAAGAGAGAAGTGCTCCTTGGTGGGGTTTAAGCTAGGCATCATGTTGATGAGGGGGTGAAATGGGTTTGCCCAGGGAACAGGTGAGTGGGAGCAGAGGGCAGCTCCTGCCTGGTTCCTGGCTCCCTACCCAGGTAAGAGTGAGATGTAGTGGGACTCACCCTCCATCGCGTACTTCATATCCTGAGCGAAGAGGTTCCACATCACCTCAGCACTGATCTTCCCCACATTCAGTTCTTGGGGGAACCTGGGGCAAGGGGACAGTGCGGACACAGGGTGGACCAGCCCTTTGCTTTGAAGATACATCCCCACACACCTCCCACCTTCCTTGGTTTCCCAACTGTAGAATAGATGTTACAACCCATTTCCAAAAGACTAAAGCCACCATGTGGGCATCCTCCCAAGCGCAATGCAGAGTCCCCTTTCCTGGCACCTACTCACTGGTTCAGGCAGGGTGTGTAGGAATTCTTGTCTTCCTCGATAATGGAGACTATCAGGGTGATGAGCTTGGACCAGAAGTCTAAGTTTTTGATGCTGGGGCCCTGCTCCTCGGGGGGCACTTCGCCTTTCTTAGTCTGGAGTGATGGGGACACAGCAGAGGCTCTGGTCACCCCACCCATGGGGCTTGATTTTGTGGCAGGGCTAACAAGGAGGCAGGAGGGCTCTAGGAACATCCTGGAGGCCCCCATGTAGGCCACCCTTGTTTGCCTCCAGTCTCAGCCCCACAGCAGTGGGTCTCAAACCCAGCCCAAGGCTTGGGCCTCATTCTATATGGGACTAAGCACTCTGGAGAAGGAGCAGGAGCATCACAAAGGAAAAGGACAGGGAATAGGGAGGTCAGTGGGGGAAATGAGGTTCCCCCACGGCATTCCAGGGCATCCCAGCTCCCCCTGCCCCACACACCGGGTCTGTCTGGTACTCGCGGCTGTACAGCTCATGGCAGTTGTTGAAGATGTACTCATAGGTGGAGTTGAGGCAGGCTTTCACGCAGTCCTTCACTACCTGGCTGGCTCGTGGGGGGCTCTGCAGCTCCTGGACCTAGGTGTGGGAGGGGGGAGCAGTGCTGGAGGCAGACTCACAGCCCCAGCCAGCCACCAAGGAGCTACCACAGGACCCCAAACTTGCAAAGAACTGGGGCCAGTGGGGGTCAGCTCCCCCACTTAGGAGATGGGGTGAGTAGGGTCCCAGCAATACCTTCATCCGAAAGAAGGTGATGCTGGTCAGCAAATCCACTGTAGACTTGAGATCCTGCAGCCGTTCGGGGCTGCTGGCAGGGAAATTGTTCTGCCAAAGGGCAAGAAAAGACAAAACTCTCAACAGGGTGGGTAGAGGGGAAGAAAACAGCCAAAACTGAGGATTGGCAGGCACCTTACCCGGTACATGGACAGGTCAATCCGCAGCGAGTTGTGCAGCTGGTCAAGGAGTTTGACGAAACGCTCCTTCTGCAGAGAAACACCCCAGAGACAGGTAAGAGGGGGAAAAGGTGGCAGGGACCGTACCCCCTCCCACCTGCCCCTGCCTCCCTCTGATCCCTGCCCACAACACCCCAGCTCATCCCTCTCCTTCCTGCTGTCCTTCCTTGCCTCCTTCCTTCATCTGAGCCCAGTAGGCAGGCATGGGATGCCCACAGAGAAGAGCACATCCTCACTGGTGGCCCGGACTCACTGGCAGCTGTTGACAGTCCCCAGGGCAAAAGTGGCCATGCCTGGCACGGTACAGGATCAAGAGGCGACACTGCACATCCCCTTTGCTCTCAATGGCAGTTGGTGTCGGAGGTGGGAAACAGGCTATTCTACCTGCCCTGTCCACTTGAACACTTGCAAGCCTGGGGCAGGCACAGGGAGAGGGTGTGCGGATAGTGCCCCTAGGCCATGTGGAAAGAGATCACGCAAAAAGGGCAGGGAAAAAGCAGCTGGGCTCTTGCTGCAGTCACCCATCTTCTGGGCTGAGCTGGTATGACACAAGGCCAGGATGGCCCACAGGAGTTGGACACCTATGTGGACTCCTTGCTCACCCAACCAGGCTGCATCAGGGACTGTGGGCAGGGAATTGTCCCAGGTAGATGACATCCACTGGAGCTGAGTGGCTTTTAATTCAGCTCAGTGCAGGTCCCATCCAGGGACTGCTGGGCAGGAGGATGCAAATCCCATATTGGGCTGCAGATCAGGCATCAGAGTTATGGGCAAAGCAACCAGTCTACCCCAAAATGCTGTTGGGAGGCATTTATTTCACTTTGCATCTCTGCTGGCGCAGGCTTTGGACAACCCTGTGGGCTCCCATGGGAGCCCTGGGTCCCCCTACAGCACTTGCTGTGCTGGGTCAGTCTGCCTCATAGGGCAGCTCCCTGAGTGCTGGAGGGGAGGACAAGAGAACGGGATGGGGCAGCGAGTCCCGCACCCGCGGCTCAGCCAAGCTCACAGCCTGCACTGGCAACCGCAAACCTTTGGCAGAGCCAGGCTCTGGGCCAAGACCGTGAGTCCCAACCACCGAACGGCTGCAGTGCTTTAAAACTGGACACGACGGGTGCTCGGGGTTAAAGCGACTCGGCTGGGCACTTTAGGACCCAACCTTAGGCTCTCTAAAAAAAGAGAAAGAAACAAGTTTTTTAAACCCTCCATGTTAGAGAAAAGGTGCTTTTTCTTTTGAGTCTCATATGGTTTCCTCCTCTTGCGTGACCTGGAGGCACAGCTCACACGGCTCCAGCTCCCATGAACCAAAGTTGCTGCTCCCAGAGCTGTGCTCAACCCTGGCTGCATCCCTGGCTACCCAACTCTTTGCCTAACCCAGGGCTGGGCACTGATCCTGGCTCAACCCTTGTGCATCCAGAGCAAGTATCTGCAGCCTCTGGGATGACATGGGGGAGTCAGGGGGAGAGCTCAGCCCTTTCTCACCTGGGTTCATCTGGCCCCGGCACAAACTCGCCCGGCTCGCCATGAGGTTCCCATTGGTGTTGGCACAGCCAGGCAAGTTTGCAGCGGTTCCGGTACACCCAAATGCACAGGGTGGTGCAAAACACCCAGTGAGCTGCAGGGATGGATTCCTGCCACCTGCTTGTGGTTTTGCCACCAAGGTTTCACCCTCTCACCACCCAGCATCCCACTGGAGTCCCACTGGAGACCCAGAAGTCCCACTTGGACTCCAGCCACTGTTTCACCATGACAATTGGCAGGGGAGCAAATTTAGACCTTCTCCCAGAAAGGTGGTGGCTCTTTTCCTTCCTGAATAACAGGAGTGGGATGAATTTCAGGACAAGCAGAGGCTGACCCCACACTGCGCCTGGCTGTCCTATGGAGAGGGGTGTTTTGCACAGCCCTTTTTGCCCCCTTGAGCCCCCCACCCCCTCCCAAGAGAAGAGAGAGAAGAAGGAAGGAGTGTTTACGCACCATCGGACTTACCCCGAAATTGGAAGCAGCAAAGCGGTCGGAGGCTGAAACGTTGGTAGACGCTGTGGTGTGTGCGTAGTAGGCATTGATGTTAGCAAGCAGGGTGCTCATCACTGCTGGCACCCCGGGGCACATGTACTTGGAGGAAAGGCAGGCAAAGTGCCTGCAGGGGGAGGGGGAAGGTGAGAGCCATGGAGAGGCTGCCCCTAAGAAGGGGTGCAGGGTTTGGGGTGCATGCAAGGGAAGGTATGGGGAAGGGGTGTGGGGTGAGCTAGGGCAGCATCTCTGTATCCGTGGCAGGCTGCAAACAGGCTGCAGCAGGGTGATGCTGACAATGACCCCCACACACCCCAGACACAGCAGGATGGAGGGCAAGGAACTCACGTCATGGCCTGGTAAATGGACTCCACCCCATAGCGCATGGCAAACTCATCTACGATCTCCTGCGCTGTCTCATCAAAGTACACCTTCCAGGCATCGTCCCCCTTGGCATCAGGGATCTTCACCACTCCGTTGTTTTGCAAATCCGTCACAAAGTGGAACAGGTTCTGGAGGTACAAATGAGTCCCACGAGGTCCCTAGGGCTGGTGGCATTCCTGGAGTGGGGGCCACAGACCTCAGGCTGGGGTGGGCTGCTCACCTCATGCAGGCATGTGTACTGTATGTGGTAGGGAGCCACCTTCTCCTCGCCTTTGATCTCCACACTGATGTGCAGCCGTATGGCTCCCGACACAGCCGACTTGTCTGTCCGCTTGTCTGCAGGGGTACAGGGAGGGGGACAAAGACATCAGGCTTCCCAGAGCAACTCTGCTCACTTCTGGCCCCAAAGAGGGGCAGGTGGCCCCAGCACAGAGAGGCTCTGGGGCCGGGGCCTGGGGACGCCCAGCTCCAAGTACAGCCAGACCAGGGTACAACACAACCAAGACACTGCAGGGAGGGATCTGGCCGTATCTCCACACACTAGAGAGATGTGGTCTCTCTATGTCTCAGTTTCCCCTCAGCAGAGGACCAGAACTCCTGAGCAAAGGGTTCTGAGAATGACCTTGGAAAAACACTTGATTCCAACAGCTTTCTGTGTTCGTGCCTTTAAAAGCAGACCCTATGCTAATACGAGAAATAGCCTTCACAAGAGGGTCGGCAGCATGTCCCCCCAAGACTGCAGGGCCCCAGCTAGTTACCAAGGTTGTACCACACGTCCATCTCCCCACTCAGGGTCCGGACCTCTATGATCGTCTGGCCCAGGAAGTCGTCAGACTCCCTCTTGAAGCGCTGCTTCACACGGGACTTGATGTCGTCATCCTCATCCCAGACACGGACCTTGATGCGGTCAGAGGAGTTATGGCACTCACTGGAGAAGTAAGAAGGGGCAAACCCTAGAATAAGCAGGGAAACCTTTCCATCTTCTCCCCAGCCTCTGTTTTCCTAAACAAGAGGGACCATGCCAGCTCTGGGCAGGAACTGGGAGAAAGAGCAGATATAGGGGCAGCAACCCTCCCACCAACACAGCCTGGATCAGCCCACACTGCCAGGAGCCAAACACTCCATGGCACAAAACCAGCCCTCCCCGTGAGCCCAGCAGCCTCCCTCCACCCTCAACTGGAGCAGGATGAAGCCCCAGCTGACTCCTCATCACCCCACAGGGATGTGCCAACAGCCAGTGCAACCCAACGTGACTGTGAGTGGCTAGGAAAGGGGATGTAGGGGCCAGGGGTGAACTTACAAATGGAAATTCTCCTCCCAGACTGGGTTGAGATTGCCGTAGATAGTTTTAGTCCTTTTTTTTGTCTTTCCAACCTGGACAGTGACATAGGGGTCACTGGAGCCTGTCTTATCCTTTGCTTGCAGGCCCTGGGCACAAACAACTGCAGCACAGCATGCATACCCATCCACACAAGGCACACACAGTGGAGACAGCAGACAGAGAGAGCAGTCAGTGCCACCGCCACACCAAGATCCCCACCACAGGCACAGCCCCAGGGGCTGAAGCTGCTTTGGAGAACGAGGGGCAGGAAGCAGCTGGACAATGCAGCATCCCTGTGCAAGGAGACAGCCCCATGGTCCCCCACAGCAGATGGTGCCTGGTGCTACTGGTGCCTACCTGTGATGCTGATCTTGGCTGACCATTTGGAGGTGCCATCCAGGACACTCTGCTTCACTGCCTTCATCTGCTGCGTGTGTGTGGTCTTGGTGACCCCAAACACCTCCTGGATCAGCTCAAATATCTCTGGTTTGTTGCGCTCCCGGATCTTCATGCGGTCCTTCAGCACCATGATGATGTTCTGGGTCCGGTCCTCTGCTCCATGCTTGGAGCTCTTCTCTGCCGCCCCTGGGAGAATACAGCTATGGGTGAGACAGGGTAGACAGGCAGGTGGCAGCATCCAGGAGACAGCCAAGAGTTCGCCAAGCCCACCATGCATGAATTAATTCAAACCTGGAAGGGTCTACCTTCAGGCCTACCTACAGGCCCAGGACAGACCTGCCCTGCTCACCACTTTCACCATGCACAAGGCAGGAGTCCAGCTCTCCCTCTCTAAATTGAGAAGGGACGAGGCTGCAGGAAGTGGGTCCTTACTCTGCAGGCAGTCAGCGTTGAGCAGGTCCTGACACTTCTCATGGCACTTGACGCCACACTCGGCACAGCGCATGCCCTGCCGGGCGATTCCCCACAGCAGCCCCTCGCACTCATAGCAATAGGTAGGGGTGGTGGCCGTCCACACCTCAAAGTTGTGGGGTGTTGTGCAGGAGATGGGGTACACTAAGGCTTGCAGGGTCTTCTTGTAAACATGGTTTTTCTGTACGAGGACAGAACAGAGAGGGGGAGAAAAGCTCAAGCCACTTATAGCAGCTGAGCCATGCACCGGAGTGAGGACACCCTGCGCTGGGTGCACACAAGCAGGGCAGGGGACAATCACCACCATCCCCTGATGCAGACATGAGCATCCTAGCTGCTCTAGCATCACCAGAGGAGGATGCTGGTATGGCACATACCCCCCTAGCCTAGGGCTCAGCCTTCCTGCCATGACCACCCTGCACACCAGCTAACCCCAGCACCTACCAGCTCCTCATTGTTCAAGGTGCTCGAGGCCAGCGCAGATGTGATTCCTGCTTTCCTGGACTGGACCAGGGACTGTGGGAAAGAAACACAATTCCCAGGTCTGACAGAGCATGGGATGTCCCTCTCGCACTCCTTTGGGTTCCCAGTGGCCATAAAACATGTTGAACAGACCCGCACCCCAGATAGCAGTGGGTGCTGGCAGTGGGGAGAGCCCAGCTGTGCAGCAGGACTGGAACCAGTTCAGCAGCCCGTGGCATTCCCAGTTCAGGTCCAACCCTGGGTGATGGGCACTTACCATTGCCTGCAGGCAGCCAGGGCCAGCGAGGGAGGAATAAAAGGCTGTTAGTGCAAGCCACCTCACAGCAGAGCAAGTCCTGGCCCCTTCCCTGCTGGAACAAGTGGGAATCGGGGCAACACCAACCCCCCATCCAGTGCTGGACAAGTCCCTGGCAGTTTTCCCACCCCAAGCCGCAGCACTGGCTGCAGCCTGCCAAATCCCTGCAGCAGGGAAAGGGGGTGGTCCTGCCTGATCCCTGCATTCTGTCAACCCCATCACCACCCACAACCCAACACCCCAAAACCCCAACACCAACACGGCACAGTGCGGAAGCATCAGCGGCTGCCTGAGCAGGCTGGGGGGCGGAGGGCACTGGGGCAAGGGGAGCAAAAAGGGGGCAGCCGGATGGGAGGGGGCAGGCAGGGTGAGGACAGAATGGAGGCACCCTGGGGAGGTGTAAGGAAATGAGGAAGGAGGCAAAGAGCATCTAATTCTGGGTGCAAAGCATTTCCAAATTTGCTGTCTCTTGTCACCAAGGGGGTAACAGCAGAGTGACCCTGTGCATCACAGCCCAGGGGGTGGATGGGACCCCAGCATAGGGACTGGGCTGGAGCAACAGTGGGGACAGGAGCTTAGGGTCTGTGCAGCTCAGAGAAGCCAGTGCTACCCCTCCTCTTGTACATGGGTCTATTTGCCCAGTCCCAACACACTCCAAACTGTGAGGAGCCCGTGTTAGAAGGGCCAGGAAGGAACCAGGGAAACGAGATGGGGCCCAGGAAGCCTTGTCTTCCTGTTGGGAGGTGTTGGAACAGGGCCCTGGAGCTCCGTTAAACAGAAGCATGCTCCAGTGGGGCAAGCTGAGCTGTGCCATCCTCACAGCTCCCCACTGCAAGGTCCAGGGCCAGGAGACCCCCAGAACAGCCTGGGACACCCCTGCCCTCTAGAGTTGGGGCTGGAGAAGGCTGGGCAGAGCTGGCCAGAAGCACCCAGGGGTGCTTTCTCTTTAACCCCTCAGGACCACGCTCACCAGATCGCTGACTAGAGGGAGAGATTTGCGTCCAGGCTTAATGTCGGGCATGCTGTTAATGCAGCGCAGAAACCTTACTGCCGCCCCCCTGCCGCCAGGGATGGCCAAGCCAGGCCGGAGGAAAGAGAACAGAAAACACAAGCCATGTTAGAGGCAGCTGGGAGCAGGGCACACAGTCCAGCAGGGCACAGCAGGAGCAAAGCCGGCGGCTGTGTGCTGCATTAGGAGGAACCTCACCAAATCGCTAACTAAGGGGATGGGTTTTCGCTTGCGTATGTCCGGCATGCTGTCTATAATGATCAGCCCGCCACCAGGCCTGCGAGAGAGAGAGGAGAGTCAGCGGAGAAGGGGAAACTGATGCAGGAAGGTTCCCCACCCCCCTTGCTATTGCCCTCTGTTTGCTTGGGACTGAAGAATGCTTGTGTGGCCTGGAACCAACATGTGGGAACCCCATCCCCACCACTACCTTGGCTAGGGCAGGGATCACTGAGATAAAAGCTGGGGGGTGAAGGGGACTGAAGCAGAAAAGTGTGCTTTTTCCTCATGTGAAGATGTTTGGCTTCAGTGGTGTGTCAGTGAAATTCAGGAAAAAAAAAACAGCCCCAGAAAGGGACCTACAAGAAATCTGGAGAGGGGTTTTGGACCAGGGCTTGTAGGGCCAGGCCAAGGGGAATGGCTTGAACCTGCCCGAGGGGAGACTGAGCTGAGCTCTGAGGCAGAAGCTCTTCCCTGTGAGGGTGCTGAGGCGCTGGCACAGGGTGCCCAGAGAAGCTGGGGCTGCTCCATCCCTGGCAGTGCTCAAGGCCAGGTTGGACACAGGGGCTTGGAGCAAGCTGCTCCAGTGGAAGGGGTCCCTGCACTGGCAGGGGTTGGAACAGGAGGAGCTTTAAAGTCCCTTAAACCCAAACCATTCTACAGTTCTATGAATTGGCTCTGTTAGCTTTAGCTTGCAGCATGGAGCAGGAGAGCTGGGGTCTCCTTCTGGGACACCAAAGGTGAGCACCAAGCTGTTCTGCTGTGAGAGGAACCAGGGTAGTGCAGCTTGGTCACAGCCTCCAGGCCTGTCCACAAGAAAACCCTGGTGTGATTTGGTGGGCTCTCAGGAAAACCTGCCAGGTTCTGCCTGAGTCAGTGGCAGGGCTGCCCACGATGGCAAGATGGGGCAAACCCACAGCCTGTCCGGGTGAGAGGTTCACGGCTCCCTGTGGCACCACTCAAGGCAGGACAGAAGTCTGAGCCACCACCCCAGCTCAGTCCCATCTCAACCCGCTCACCTCCTCACTCTCCCCCTCAGCAGCAGCTCTTGGGGACACGGAGTGGTGGCATCTCTGTTGGCTCCTCCAAAAGCACCAAGCGACCAGCATTCAGCCCAAAACTCTGGCCCCTGGCATGCCCAGACCCCAGCAACATTTCCCCATGCCAGCCCCATGATGAGTGCGTTAATCACATCCTAATGGGGAGGGGAGAGGAACCCACGAGACCCAGGAGTGGGAGGAGCACAGACTACCAACTTCCCCACATACTCACCCGCCTTTGAACCACAGGGATTTAGCTTCTCCATTACCATCCCCGCGAGCCTGCAAGACACAGAGCAGCCATCACAGGCACAGCACTGAGTCCCCAGTGCCCTCCCCAAGGCTCCCCTTGCATGGGAAGCATGTAAAAGGTTTACAGGGTGGGCAGAGAAAAGTGTGTTCCTAAACTGATGGGGCTCTTTCCAGCCAAGAGCCTGCACTGGGAATAAAATATCTCCCAGAGGGTGAGCAGGGCAGGCTTCAGCAGAGGAGCTCAGGTTGGCAAAGCAGTGGAGATGGCTGCACCATGCAAAATTTGGGTGTCTGGGAGAGGGGAGCATTGGGAAGACTCAGCAGCTCCACAAAGACCTGCAACCAGTTGGAGAGAAGTGCCAGGAAAGCCAGAGCACACCAGGTATGAGATGTGTGCAGGGACCATCCCATAGTGCCACCTCCCTTGCAAGGAGGGGATTATTTCCAGGGAGAAGGGAGGAAAAAGCCAATTTTACCTCCCTTGTGGGGCAATCCCTGGCTCACACAAGCACACACGCACACATGGGGAAGGCTGGATCGTTCGATTGGACATGCTTACCTGCAGGTAGGTTACACCCCTTCCCTGCAGGAAGGGGAGACGCGGGTGCAAGGGCCATGATGGTGGACAACTGAAAAGAGAAGCGGTGGGGAGGGGGAATCGAAGCCCCAGGGGGCAAATCCAGAGCCAAAATAAAAACGAAAAGATGGAGGATGGGATGGAGTCTAAAAACAGAACAAAAAATTGTCAGCTCAGTACATGGGAGAGGGCGAGGGGCTCACACCAGCGCACCACATGCAGCACTCACCATGGGAAAGTCCTCAGCACACCCTGCCCCTTGTGGGGCTCCCACAGGTCCCCACTGCCCTCAGGGTGTGGGGTGTCCAGGGGGTGGATGTGTCTGGAAGACACCCAGCACATGGCTGGTGCTGGGACCCAGCAGTTGTCAGCCACAGCATTGCTCACCTCCTGCAGCTGCATGCAGACCTTGTTGAAGGCTCTCAGCCAGTTGGCTTTGGCTCGTGCTTTGGGGTCCTGCACCTCCACCTCTGCTTGCTCCCTGCAAGCACACACACCTTGCTCACCTCCAAGCATGGCACTGGGGAGCAGGAAGTCAGCCCGGGCAGGACTGAGGATGAAATATGGGGATCCTGAGGGTCAATGAGGCAGTATTGCCATGGCAAAAAAAAAACCACAAACACTTACTACCAGAAAGGGCTCTAAAAAGAGAGCAAGTCCCTCTGCAAAGGGTAGCACCATCAAGGCAGATGGGGAGAAGCCAGAAGTTCTCACTCCCTTGGGAAACTCTGGCCTGGGCACCCAAGGGACACAGAGGGATCTCTCCAGGTCAGGGCGACACTAGCACCTGGATTAAACATCCTTCACCTCTCATCTCCCCAAAAGGAGGTCCTCTGGCCTCTTCCCACCACTCTGGAAACTCCTGAGGTTGGTTAAGAGCGCTCTGCTCCTGTGACTTTCAGCACAGGAGACCTGTCAGCCTGGACATGCTGGTTGTGGTGGGGTTAGGTTTTTATCTCCTCTCTTGCAAAATCAAGACGTGAAGGAAAAGAAAACAAATCCTCCACATGTACCAGCCTCCTGGAGAGCCTGGTGTGACATGATACTGAACACGTGTGCCCAGAACCAGGCTGGAATGAGGCCATGGGGAGCTCAGGAGGCAAACCTGCCAAATCCAACCCTGTGCTAATGTGTCATCCCCAGCACTAATCTATGGTCCTCAGTGCTAATCTGGGGTCCTTGGCACTAATCTGTGGCCCACAGCACTAAGCAATGGTCACTAATGACCACCACAGGACCCACAGGTGCCCTGCCCAGAGAACAGGCACTGCAGGCAGACATGAACCTTAGTTCATGGCCACCTTCACCAGGACTCTAGCCAGGCCTTGGCACTAAATATTGAGGGGGTTTTTAAAGCTCATTACACATTCTTTTAAATTAGAGATTTTCCATTTCTGGACTATAATTTAAAGTAATAAAAGACTGAAAAAGTCCATCACACTTCGCCTCTGTACAGAGCAGCGGTGCTCACCAAACCATGGAAGAATGGACACGTTCAATAATTAAAGGCAGAGACTAATTAGTGAATTATTCACATGCCATACCAGGGACCTGACCACCAAATAATTCATCTGTACAGCACAGGAGGCCTTGGGTGAGCTTTTACTAACGGCTTAGGGAGAGAATTGACTCCTGTTAAGGAAACTTCCTCCTGCTGAGCTCCAGGGTATTCCCTCCATCCAGGGAGCCAATAGCCTGAGACAAAGGACAGGAATCACAGCCCCAAGCCCCCACTTCCCCTATCCCCAGGTTTTCCCCAGGATATAAACCTGTGCCCCCAGCAGCCCTGGCAAGGTCCTGAATGCCCTGAGCTCTGCCCCTGCTTACCATGGGCCAGGGCATCATGCCCTAGGAGCTGCCCTTTGCCAGGGTGGTACAAAGTGGGCTTCTCATTCACCGTGGGAAGTCCCTGGCACTGCCCTTTGGCACCACACCATGCGCCCCGGGCCACCTCCAGAGCATCCTTGGTGTTACCAGGCACAGTGCCATCACAAGTACACTACAGGTCAAAGCCTCACTCCTACCTCTCAGATGGTTTTGGGGGCTCAGGCTCAGGAGCTGACTCTTGCAGGGGAGCTTCATCCACACTCTGCTGGGCCTGGAGGGTCTCTGGGATTTCCTCAGGGGCAGAGGAGTCGTTCTCCTTCCTCTCCTCTTTCCTCTCCTCCTTCCTCTCCTGCTGCTGCAGCTTCAGCTGAGGGACCAACTGGGGTTGCTGTGGTTGCTGCTGCTGCCCGGGGGGTTTCTGCAGTGGGGGGTAGGCATCGTGCTCAGGGACTTCGTAGGTGCCCTGCTCCCGCAGGTCCTTCTCCTCCACCTCCTTGGGGCAGCCTTCCTCATTCTCACTGTAGTCCTCATTGAACTCTTCCTCCTCCTCCAGGTAGAGGTCATCATCCTCCTCCTCCTCCTCCTCCTCCCAGCGGGGTGAGTCCTTGTGGTAGCTGACGGAGCTATGGCAGGAGTGGTAGGAGTCCCCATCCCGCTCATCCAGCTCTGAGTCCCGTAGGCTCTCGTTCTCGAAGTCCTCACTCAGCTGGGAGCTGCCCTGGCTCAGCTCAGCAGATGAGGCATAATGGCTGCTCCCCGTGGGGCTGCAGGGCCGAGGGCAGACAAGAACAGGGCTCCATGGGACTGTGCCACAGCTTTGCCTGCCCTGTGCTGTCCCACAGCCCCAGGGTCCCCACACCATGGGCAGGAGGGATGTGGGGTCCCCCTCAGGGCACAGCCCTTGGTGAGCACTGGGCTCCTTATCCTGGGAGTCGAAGGCATGGACCCAGGAGATTCCATGAGCTGGGATTAGCCCCCCAGGGATCTGACCTTCCTGTACCTGGGTTGAGTGTAGGAACATGGGGGTCAGGGTCTGTCCCCTCAGCTCACTCCTGCCAGAGGAGGGGGCAAAGCACAGCCAGACTGCACACCCAGCCAGATCCTGCCTCCTGCCTCTGCCAGACAACCTGTCCTGCCCATAGTCCACACCCAGCCTCTACCCTGACATCCCAGCACTGCCTGTACATCTCCCAGGCACTCCCTCTCCAAGGACACCCTCTCTCAACTCCATCAACTCCCCTTAACCCCATCATCCCTACTACCAGCATTTCTTCCAGGCCAGACCCTTTTCCACCAATCCCATCTATCCCACTGGCTCTTCCAGCATCCCCATCTCACAGCTGCCTGCACCCAGGGGAGCAACAGCACAGAAGGGTTCCCTGCATCCCAGAATACTGCTGGGGACAAGGCAGCCATGGTGCTCCATGGAGACAGGTTCACATAAGCAAACATGCAGACAGGACAGGGACATGCCTAGGAAGAGGCCGACACCATGTCTCCAGCACTGGCAGCCAGCACTTAGGGGTGGGCAAGCAGGAAGGGGACAAAGAGATGGGCAGAGCCCTGGGCCCAGAGCAGCTGGGTTAGGCAGTGGGGAGCCAGGGGACATGGCAGGAAGGAGGGTACTGGCAGATGCCCAAGCTGCTCCCAACAGACACAGGTACTGGCATCATCCAGTTACCTTGGGAAGGAAGACTTGGGGCACAGGAGTGCAGGAGACATGGCTCATGCCTAGAAACCCCTCATCTCCTCAGCCAGATCCTGGCCAGATCTTGGCACACCACATGAGTCCCAAATTACTGTGTGAGGCTTTTGACCAGCCAAGTGTTCCCTGGGAGGTACCAGTATCAGAGGGTGGCATTTGAGTCCCCAAGGCTCATTTGAGTCCCAGCTCCCATTCTTGCTGTCATGACAGGGAGCAGGCAGCAGTGATGCCACATAGTTGATGTGCCAGTGAGTGGGACCCGGATGCTGGGGTATCTGCACCATGAACTGGGCCCCCAAGAACAAGAAGGACTACCACGGGGCTAAGAGACACCCTGGAGCATCCCAATGCTGCTCCTCTGCAAGGCAGCCCAGGGCAGGGAGACCCTGCAGTGGCATGGGGTCGCCCCTGCCGGGACTGGTGTTGGCCTCACCACGGCTGCAAGGACCGACCACAGCACTCTGCGACGGTACACAGCACGCAACAAGGTAGTGACCCACCTATCAGATAGGTCTAGGGACCGCCTGCTCTCAAGGGAAGGCTGGCGGCTGGTCCGCCTGCTCGACTCAGAAGCGGACTCGGCGTCACTGCGCCTGTTTGCGGCAGAATCAACGCTACCATAGCGTCTGCCGGGGAGGAGAGGAAGACGATCAGCAAGGTCCCAGCACCACCACCACCCGCCGTGCCCCAGCATTCCCTGCTGCCATGGGGACATCGGCAGGGAGGCTCCGTGGTGGTTGACAGGGCTGGCACCTTGGTCTGGGAACATGCTGGGACCACAGGGACAAAGCACCGGGCTGGTGACCCTGCCTATAGCCATGTCTGTATCCCAAGGCAGGCCATAGCTCACAGTAAGGAGAGCTAGGACTTGAGGGTCTCAAAGCCCAGCAAGGACAGAGGAGGGTGGTGATCCAAAAGAGCTTGAAAACTTCCAGGTAAGAAGGAAAGGCTTAGGGCCAAGCCACTCCCGCTCTTCCTTGCCTCAGCATCCCTCCCTGTCACCCACCACCCTGAGAGTGTTGTCCTTGGCATCATCACCCACCCCAGGGACCTGCTGGTCTCTCCTGCCTAGGGGGTGAGATTAAGAGAGCAGGTCCAGGGGGAGCTGGCTGCACTGACACTACCTGATGGGATGCTGGTCTGAGTAGTCCATCTCATAGCTCTGCATGGAGTCGGTGTAGGAGTCACGGGAGCTCTGCTGCTGATGCCTCATGGGGTACTGGTGGACAGAGGCATTGGGCTGGGAGGTGGTGTAGTAAGGTGGTGGGATGCTGTTGCTAGTCTCACTGCGATAATCACTGTCACGATCATCCACTGTGCTGTCAGGGTCATCATCTGCAAGGGGCCACAGGGAGTGGGACAGGGGATGACCCCACAGCTCCTGTGGCCTTGGATGCCCCAAATCTGCCCCATGCCCTACACAGCCCAGCTACTGCCACCACCATGTCCCCATGTCTCTGGGACATTGATGCAGAGATGGACCCAGTCAGATGTGAGGAGAGCTGGGCACTGCCAGGCTGGGAGAGGCAGAAGGGACAGGATACTTACTCTGCTGTTCTCCCCATCCGAAGTAATTCCAGCTGCCTACAAAGAAAAACAAAAAGGGGCAGAGACAATAAGGATGGAGTCAGTTCCAGGGCAACAGCATGAGGTGGCTGGGGGAAACCAGCATCTCTCAGGCATGGTGGCACCAAGCTGCGCTGGGGACAGCACCCAGGATGAAGCACATCAGCACTGAACTGGTCTGGGGTCAGGAACTGTGGCTGCATGATGCAGTACCGAGAGAGGATGGGGATGGGGTGTAGGGATGGGCATGGTGGCACTGAAGTGCACCCCAAATCCCCCAGATCTCTCTGCCAGTGCCCCCACTGAGCAGCCCCCTCACCACCCCTCACCCAGGTTTCCCAGGGGACCATCCTTACCAGCCCCACTGCCATGCCCTGTCATACCCTTCTCCCCTACAACTCAGCCCCAAAGGAGGGCTCACACACTGTGGGGCAGGGAGAAAGCAAAGAAACACCAGCAGACACAGGAGTCTGGGAGCGGGACTGGGAACATGGTGTGGGGTGAAGCTGAACCTCACTTGGGTTGGGGTCCAACACCCCAAGGCAAGCACAGACACCACCCCTGCACAACCCCAACGTGCGGACCTGGGGCATGAGGCAATGGGGGGGGATCTGCAGTGGGGCAGGGACAGGGCAGCACTTACAGCACTGGGAGCCGTGAACGGGCAAAGGCTTTTCCTGCTCCTCCTGGAAGGCATACTGGGGAGAGACAGGCTGCTGAGGACTGCCCTACTGCAGCACCACTGCCTCCTTACCCCTGCCTGACACTGCACCGACTTACATCATCCTGGTCCCGCATGGCATTGAGCTGCTCCAGCTTCTTGGCCCAGTACCTGGCCTCCTCCTCAGGGATATCTGCAAGGGCAAAGACCCCAGTTGGTGCAGAGATTCCCCACCCCTCCCCCCACCAAAACAGCCTCTCATCTTTAGGAGCTACAGGATCAGACCCCCATCCTCAACCCTGAACGGGTCCGGGCATGGTACCCACCCAGAGGCAGCTCAAAGCGGGTGTCAAGGAGGATACGGTGGAAAGTGGGGTCCTTGGTGCCCGAAATCTCATTGTCGGTCATGATGACTTGGGAGTCAAGCGTGAGCCACTCCCCAGGGCCCTCCTGTGGGGTAGAAATGTGGGTGAGGAGACCAGGGACCCCACATTCTCAGCCCCCCAACTCCTCTCCAAGCAGGGGTGGGAAAGGCTCTGCCACCACCGAAGGACAACCAAGAGTGTGGCTACATGTCCTTTAGGGTCTAACGAAAGGGGTGGCCATGCCTAAGCTTCTACCTCATTGGACTGCCGGATGGTACGGAGGGGGATCCACACCATCCCCACCATGGTGTCCCAGATGAGCCCCTTGTTCCACACCTCCACCGTCAGGCCCAGGTCAAGCCGGTTGATCTCACTGGGAAGGAGAGAAGTGTCAGGTAACCCCCTCCACAGCAGCCCCCTGGGGCCATTCCAGTCTCTGCAGGACTCAGGCGAGCCTCCCAGGGCTGGGGTCATGGGGGAGCACTGGGGTGGAGGCCCCAGAGTGGCCCCTATACACTCACAACATGAAGTCCTGCTCCCAGGAGGGCAGGTTGCCCCGCACTGCAATGGTTGTGCTCTTGACATTTTGTACCTTCAGTGTCACGTAGGTGTTAAACTTCTCTATGGAAGCAAGAAGAGCATGGACACCAGGGGACCCCCCAAGACGCTCCCCAATTGCCACCCTCCCATGGGGTACCCACACACTGCCCTCAGCACCCCAGTCCCAGTCAGGATGGATTCCACCCCTGGCAAGGGTGGCCTGGCTGCAAGCACTCCATCCTGCCCACGGCATTCCCATCTTGCACAGGGCACTCCCATCTCTGTGTGTGTTCCCTCCCCTTGCCAAATGATGCCTCCAGATCAGAGGCTGAGCCTGGGGTCCCCTTGCCATCCGCTGCCCTCCCTCTGATCCCGACATACCCAACCACCCCAAGAGGCAAGCCCCTCATCCCAACCCCCCCCCAGGCAGACAGCCTGGGGACACTTACCTTGGGGTCCATCAAACTTTGCCTTTTTAACTGTGGGAACAGAGAGAGAGGGAAGAGATTCAGGCTGAGGATGCCCCCCCTTCCCCCAAAACTGCCCTCCCAGGGGTACCGAGGAACTCATTCCCACCCTGCCCATTGGGGACCCCTCCCCACAGGGCAAGTGCACACAGAGGTGGGGCTGTTTGCATCTGGGCCAGATCCTGCTCAGAAGCAAGGGAACAAACATCACTGATTCTGGGTGATGCCCCAGCTTTACACAAGTGGGTAGCTGGTTTTGCCTGCAGTGGGGAGGAGGCAGCAGCCAGGTACCAATGCTGCCAGCGCTGGGCGGTAAGGGGAGGTGAGGGAATGGGACCAGGCAGGGAGAGAATGACACAGCACCTGGTTAAATGCTGTGGTTGCCAGCAAGTGAGGACCAGTGCGACCAACGAGGGATGAAAATAGCCCTGGTGATATCCAAGCTAACTTGTTCAGAGACATGCCGCTCACAGAGGGGATGTGAGGCTTGTGGGAGGCAACAGGGCACAAGCCTGACCTGCAGTACCACTGATGGGGTGGGTTGTGGCTCAGCCTCAGCCTCCTGCTCAATAAATAATCCAGGATCCTCTGGCTCAGTCATGCGCTAGGTGGCACTTTGCTCATGGCCAAATCCAGAATCTCAAGACTCCAGAAGCTGCGGCTACACTCAGGGATGGGGGAGTTCATGGGGGGGGGGAGGGGGGAGGTTTATTTGAGGCCAGGCCGGAGGCTCTGGGATCCGAAAGATCCCCTTTTGCCACTGGGCTGCGAGCCTGGGAGACTGTGTGGGAACATCTGGAAGCAGTGTGGGTTTTAGTATTAACTATATTTCATATGTTGATTGTATTATATATAAAATGCATTTTATATATATATTTTATGTTATGCGTTATATATCATATATTCTTAAGTATTACATATATATCATATATACCACATATATCACCTATTATATGTGATGTATTTTATATTATATTAGATGTTGTATATGGGATATCGTATTTTAAATTTTAAGTTTTTGTATATGCTATATATATTATGTTATACATTCTGTACTATAGATTATATATATTATAACATATAAAATATAATAAAAAACTTACATGTTATACATTGTCTATGGCATGTTATACATTGTTTGGGATTAATATTATTTAATATTTAATTAATATTACTATTAATTATATTGTTAATATTTAATATTAAATTAATAACTGTGATAATAGTAGGAATAATAGGAATCATATGATGTTAGAATACAGTCTCTGGTACCAGGACCTGCCCATGACATGTGCTGTTTGGTCGGAGCTCACCCCTTTCCCAGCCCCAGTGGCACCCACCAGCCCAAAACTGTCTCCGAAACGAAACAGAGAGAAGCAGAGGAAGGAAAAGCTCCAATAATACCTGATCTGACAGGAACAATTACCCAGGGAACACATGGTTCTCCTGGCTGTTATCTGCTGCCAGGGAGAAGTCCTGCTGCCACCATCTGTGGCTGCTGGCCCCAAGAGGTTGTGCTGCCCTCCCAGCCACCAAGGGGCCCCCAAAACTGGCACACGGGTGGCAGGTCCCAGGGTGTCACCTTTGGGCTACACTCAACCTGAGCCCCCAGACAAGGAGCTGAGGACAGCGGGACCCTCATGGGAGCTGGGTGCCCCCACAATAGGGTGGAACTCGAGGTGCTTCCCAGGGTGGGGTAATAATCCTTCTCAGGGGAAAGGAGGAGGGATCAATTGGGGAAACTGAGGCAGGTGGGGTTCAGACTGACAATGGCATGAAAACCAGGTTGGGCTGTAGGCATCCTGCAACAGGCCCATCTGTCTGTCCAACCCTCTGTCCATTCATCCATTCGTCTGTGCATCCACCCATGTCTCTGTCCACCCCTCTCTCTGTCCATCCTTTGACCATCCACCCATTCACCTGTCTCTCCAACCACCCCCTCCCTCCATGTCCATCCACTCATCCACCCACCCCCTCCCTCTCGCCATCCATCCACCCACCCATACTCTCTCTCTGACCATCCACCCCTCTTCCCACCCATCCACCTACCCCTCTGTCTACCAGCTCATGTCTCCCTGTCTCCCCATCCCTCCATCCATCTGTCCATCTGTCTCCTCCATCTGTCTCTCTAGGCACCTGTCTACCCACCCATCCATCTGTCCATCTACCTCCCAACCCCTTCAGACCCCGCTCTGGCCACACACCCCTGTCCCCATTCACCCCACACCTCCCAGGGCCACTACAGTCCTTGCCTTCCCCCAGCACATAGTCCTCGAGGGCTGTGTGTGGCCCTGGTGCCCCAGAAGGGACAAGGGAAGGCTGGATGGGGGCTTTGGGGTGACACCCTATGCCTCACCTTGTCCCTCACTGCCATTCTGCTACCTCCAACCCCTCACCCCAGGACCCACACTGAGATGCTGCAGGGCCTTGGGGAGGTGGGAAAAGGACCACCCAGACTTACCTCCCTAGCCCAAACTGACCACGCAATCCAGAGCAGCCTCCAGTAAGGACAAGCCCGAGGCTGCCGGATCCATCTGCACACTGAGTTGGGCAGGTCTCATCATGCCAGGGAGTGGGGATGGGGATCCCCCACCAGTTCTTCTCAGTATGGCATGATCAGCATACACAAACCAGACCACCGTGCCCCTCCTCTGCAAACCCCCCCCCAACTGCTCAGAACCCCCCTAAAGCATCACCGAGGTGGGGAAACGCCTGCAGGGGGGGTGTAATTTCGGGGGATATTTAGGGGTTTGGAGGAGGGGCCGTGGGAAGATTGGAGGTTTGGGGCTGGGGATGTGGAGATGCTCTGGGATAAATGATGCTTGGAGGAGTGGAGGGTGGGAATCGCGGGGGTTGGCGATGCGTGGGGGGACGTCTGAGGCCCCCTGTTTAGGGGGAGTATTTGTGGAGAGATGAGTGAGAATAGGCGGGTGGGGTTGTGGGGGGCTGCAATTGTGAGGGGGTGGAAGGGATGCAGCAGTGGGAGGATGAAGAGGGACTGATGTGAGATGAAGGGGGAGGGATGCAGAGCACCCTCCGTGCGTTCACACACACACCACCCCAACACCCCCAATCCCCGGAACCGGTGCCGCGCGCGCGCCCCCGCCGGTTCATTCATGAATCCACGCGCCGATTTCCTTGAATGGAGCTGTTCCACAGACACCACCCCCATTCTGCGCCAGCCCCTGGCCCGCTCCGTGCCCCCCGAGCCGGACCCCGCGCCCGCCGGTACCTCGCACGCAGAGCAGAGACATGGCGCCGGGCGTGGGGCGGGGAGCGGGGAGCTCTCGCAACCGCTGCCGCCGCTCTGCACCGCTACCGGGCCGCCATCTTGCTTCACCAAGGACGACTCCTGACGTCAGCCCCACCGCCCCCGCCTTAAAGGGGACGCCGATAGCCGCCCCTCGATAGCCCCTGCACGCCCCAACACCCCCCAACCACACCCAACTCCCCCACAACACCCCCAAACCACACCAAACAGCCACAACAACCCCCTAACACTCCCCCAACTACCCACAACACCCCCCAACCACTCACAACACCCGCAACACCCCCACAACACCAACAACACCCCCATAACACCCACAACACCCCCACAACGTCCACAACACCCCACAACTCACCAATACCTTCCTAAAAAAACCCTAATACCCTCCTACATCCCCTGAACACACCCCATACACCCCCAACACTCCCCAACATCTCAAACACTCCCCCAGTACCCCTCCACCTCATTCAGAACCATGGAGAAATCGCGATCAGGATGGCCCGAGGGGGCTGCCCGGGATGTACGGCCCCGGAGATCCTGCTGTATGGATATGGGGGGCTCTGCCTGAATGGGACACGGGGGATTCCTGCCCGAATGGACCACGGTGGAGTCTGTGTGTATGGAACCGGGGGAATCCTGCACATACGGATCCGGGGTTCTGCATGTTCTCATTGCCAGGGTGGGTGCTGTCCTACCAGCAGCCAGCCACACCATCACCACGTCCTGCAGGGGACCAGCAGAAGGCTCACGCTCTGCTGCTGCAGCCCAGCACACAGGGGGGTTCTAGGCTGGCATAGACAGGGTCCCCCCGCTGAGCACGCTGCTCTCAAGTGAACGTGTGTTGGGAGGACATGGGCTGGCAACAGTGGGAGGGGTGATGTGGAGCTCATGTCTGTGCAAGTCTGGTTTTGAGCGTCCCTGGCATGGGACTTGTGGGTTGGGGGTGATATCCACAGCAACCCCTTCCCAAAGAAGACAAAGCCAAAGCAACCCCCACAGCCTCAGAATCCCTGCACATCCTTTTGCCTCCTCGCCCTTCAGGGTCCCATCGTCGTCCCAACGTGGGTGCTGTCCCACAAGGGTGCCAAGCTGCCCTGGGTGCGGTGGCGGTGATGGCAGACAGCAATGGTGAGGGTGACACCCACCAGCCCACCCAAGAGAAGCTGACCCGCCTGCCACAGGGCAGCTAGTAGACAGGGATTATTCCTCGCCTCTACTCAGCTGCTTTTCCACAGGTGCCCTCTGAGGTTTGGTGGTGTTTTTCTTGGGGAAAGGGTCTGTGATGGCACCAGGAGTGGGGCATTGCGCCCAGGACCTCCTGGAGTAACCAGGTGTGGATGGAGGTGCTGAGCACAGAGGAGGATTCGGTGAAGTGGCAGCTCTGCTACAACGTGAGGGCAAAGACGTGGTGGATGGTGAGTGACAGCAGATGGGGTCGGGTCTGGAGTGCTTGGAGTGGGGGAGTCCAATGGTGGGGTAGAAGTGGGACTTTGGAGCAAGGGTGTGGGGGTTCTGCCCATGCTTGTTTGGTCCAGTGGTTTCCCTGTTATCAGGGATTTGGTTTTCCATCCCTTCCTGCTGGTCCTGCCAGGGTCCACACTGGGCTGTGCTCACCCCAGCTCAGTTCAAGTGCTTTGCTCCTGTGAATGTTTTTTGAAGAAAATCTTGCTGGGAACATCATCTCCCTACTTGGCTGTGAAGGTCTCTGCTGGTATGTGAGCCTCACCAGACCTCTGTCAGCCCCTGCCCTTGCGACAGTGCTCATAGGAAGAACTGGGTGTCTGTCTTCCCACCCCCACACCTGCCCTGGCTCAAGGCAGGGGATGGAGATCGCCTTAAGCCAGACTTAAGGCTGGTTTGGGCACAGCCCCCAGAGTGGTTTTGGGAAGGAGAGGAATCTCTCCACAGGTTCCAGGCAAGAGGCTGTAAGCCAGGGGCTGTGGGTCCTCAAAGTTTCCACCAGGCATTTGCAAGGGAGACTGCAGCTCCCTTGGGCTGGCAAGTGGGATTTCTGGGAAGCAGATGAGCTCATTGGATCCCTGCCAGCAAGCACCAGCCTGTGAGTGAAGCCCAAAGCGCTGGCCAGAGCAGCACGGGGCACACAGGTAGGACAAACCCTGGGAGTACACTCCGATGTCCCTGTACACATGCAGGGATGGCACCCAGCATTGTCCCATGGCTCCGAGGCTGCAGCAAAGCAAGAGGCCAGACCCTGCCTTGCAATACCCTGCTGTGGGTGGCTGCTAGTCCTGGTATCAAAAGGCTGTAGGTGGAGGGCA